TATATATATGTGTTTACATAGACACAAGTTTTTAACTTCCACATACAATACTAGTAGCTCTTGACAGATCACCCAGGGTGATGTGCTATTACGGTATTACCTCAGTACTTGACGTGGGATACTCTTGTAAACTATACGCCGGTTCAGTAATATGCCACCTCTTGTGAGTGATGAAACTCCCGAAATAACAAATTAATGGCAGAATTTAGCTGAACTAGACTATGGAGCAAAATTTCTTGTCACCAGAATGACATTCTTCAAGTACTACCTTTTATATCATTACTTACTGAAACCAACTTCGACTAGATGCAGTTGTCCACAGTGAATGCATCTTCAATGTCAACCACAGACGATAGAAACACAAGTCGATGCACTCATTTTAGTTGGCATTACAGAAAATGTGATTATAAGTAGCCTCAATGAATCTATTCCACCAGAAAGTTATCCCATTCACCTTTCACATTGATAGTGAATATTAATCCATCACTGCACATGGAGAAGTCATATAGAGTAAAGTGTATGTGTAAGATAGGTTTACCTTTGACCCCTGATTACTTCAAAAGCTCCCCCTCTTGGGGATGGGTTCTGTTGCCCCCACAGATCGTGTTTGCCCATGAGGACTTGCTGGCAGGTCAGCTCATGTTGGTGGCTTTCACCAGCCAACAGTACCACATCTCTGATTCCTGGCGTGGCGACGGGCTGCCTCTCTTAAAAGAGTGGTTCCTCGTCACTTCACTGATCCTTTTTGGTACTCCTTAACAATGCTTGCCCTCTTCTCTACTGGTGAAACAGCTCATATTGGTCGATCCTGTTCATCAATAACATTCTTCTCTCTCTCTCTTTTGGGCGGCACACTACCCTGATGATCCTCAGTTATGTGGGCTCATACCCTACATAGAGTCAGTGTCAGGCGTACATGGCCCTTATTCCCTGTTCCGAGCTCGTGACAACAGGGTGATGGCTGTAAGGGACCTTTGCAACATCGATGAAAATCAAAGTTCTAAGTTTTTAATATCCATATAAGCCGTCATCATGAATTACTTCACCACAGCGATTATTCGACATGTGTCAGCCCATAGTGTTTCTTTGTGTACTGTGTATCTGTGTAATTTTCAATATTACTACAAGACCGAGCGATCCTTTCAAAACTAAGGAACGTAAATCACAAAATTATCAATAGAAGAAATGACATTTTCTTTATCAGATAGTGCCGTAGCGAACTGTTAACCCCTAATTTTGTTAAAGTAAAATTAACCCAAAATCTTAATAAGTTTACAAGTATTATCCATCAATTACAGAAAAACTACTAAAGGCTAAATTAAACACTAAATACAAAAATCTGAATGACCTGCAAAAACCAAAATTAATCTAGATCATGAGCTAGCCTGCTGCATTAAACCAAAAATGTATGGACTCACACAGCGTAACATCAACCAACTCATCAACAAGGAAGAAAAAGAAAAAAACCGCCATGACAAAAAACTTGACCAACTAAGATGCAAACAACAGAAAGGATATTAACATGACAAACTCCCAACCGTCTTTATAATCAACAGATCCGACCGACAATTAAACGCCGAAAAAATACATCTTCTGAATAAAGGACTAAACTTTGCTGTCACTCCCCAAATTAGTCCATGTATTGAAATTAAAACATGTCTTGAAGACCTGGGAAGAAGACTGATGATCTATTCCACACAAACCGAGAATACAACCAAAAGTACAGAAAACAACCACTATAAAGAATACATTACTAATACCAATACTATCGATAGTCAATAAATCACCTTTACAAGGTAAAACTGAAAAAATCCATTTCCCTGAAATATCCTAAAATAGTATTTCAAACAACTTTTTTTAAAGAATTCTCAAACAAAGCCACTCACATAATTTCTCAAAAAAAAAAGAAAGAAATGTTTAATGTATTAATAATCTGAAACAAAACAACAACAACATCAAAATTCTAAATGCAAATAAGGGCAATGCCATAGTTTACTATTCCGATATTTTATGCAATTTAATCAGTTCATAGTTAATTAAAACAGATTTATATTGTTTGTTTGTTAAATTTTCGCATAAAGCTATTCGATTGGCTATTTATGCTAGCTGTTCCTACTTTTGAAATGATAGATTAGAGGAAAGGCAGTTAGTCAACACATCTCACCGCCAATTCCCGGGTTACTCTAATCAAATAGTGAGATTTGCCATCAAGCCCCTAAGTCTGAGAGGGGATAATGTTCGGTGATGAGATTCGAACCTACGAGCTACAAATTTTTAGTCGAACGCCAAAACTACCAAACCATTCCAGGTTATAGACTTGCAAGAAGTATCATTGTATATCTGGTTATATAGTGTTACGTCTCTGCTCATTTGTTAATTTCTGGTATAAATTCTTTCCGAGGAACTTCAGCGATACAAGCCCTTTCTTAAATAAAACTAGTTTATTCTTTCTCGATACAACTTTGTAATACACAGAATTTCCACGGTCACTCTAAACTTAACAGCCTTTATAACACACGCTATAAATCACAGCGATTCACACACTTTACTTACGGTGCCTACTGTTCGCTTGACTCAGTTATCTATCTATCTCAGTGGCTTTCTTTGCCAGGCTTATATACTAAAAAAGAGGTCGTCTAGCAAACACTCGGACATTCGCGGGGTTCTCCGATAATTCTAGAAACTCCAGCACGCATGCTCCCAGCGTCACGCGACTTCTGCTGTATAACAATAGCAATCAATAACAATTTTAAGGTATAAGTAGATCACAATTAAAAGTAAATCACAAAACATTGTCGCATGTTAAACTGACTAAATGTAGCAACATTTGAAAATGAGAAAACAGTAAAATATAAAACTTAAAATATAACTTTGACTGTTGTTTGAGTATTTTCCTGGTCTCATTACTCAGTCCTTAGCCAAGTTCATGTAGTTTAAATTTATTATCATGTTAAATTTATGAATTCACTTTAATACCACACATATGACGACTTATTACGGCCAAACGAAATGTCATTTGATTTGAGAGATTTTCTTTAGAATCTGTAAATAATTTCTAATTACAGGGCTTTCACAACCTGCTCCTTTTTTGTTGAAGATAATTTTAAAAGACCTCGATCATCGCGACATGAAAATTTTTATAAGCCCAACTGATTAAGATAATTGATCTCATTAAATTCCTTAAAGGTAAGTGATTTTAATCTGCTCTTCGTATGTAATTTTCATAAATGCAACATTTTTTTCTTATAAATATTCTTTTTTCTACTTTTGCGTAGCTGTAATTACATCACTTCAGTTTTATTGTTCATATTTGCATATTTTGCCTTTCTTTCACTTTTCTGTTGATATAATATATAAATTCTGAAATATACTTGTTAGTTTGTTTTGAATTTCGCGGGATATCTGCGTTAGCCATTCCTAATTTAGCAGTGAAAGCCAACTCTTGGTCTACTCTTTTACCGTGAAAGGGAGAGCACGTTTGATGATTCAAATCCGCGATCCTCAGATTGCGAGTCAAACTCTCTAACCACCTGGCCATGCCGGACCTATTTGAAATATACTAAATAAGAATAATATGCATCATACCATACTTTTTAGTACAATGTAATTAAATGAGTATGGACTACTGTTTCTTGATATCTTTTATTCATGAACTATGACATCTAGAAACAGTAGTCCATACTCATTTATGATGGAGATAACGTAAATAAGATGGAAACACTACTATGATGTCCAAATAATAATTCACAGTAAAAGGGAAGTAACTGATAATGTATATTCCTCTATCCCCTCCTGAGTCATTGGTGAATCCCTGTGAACAATGGCTGGTAGAATACAAGTCCTTCGGAATGCAGTTAGTCTGTAATTGACTATGATGTTCTTTTCACTAGTAACCAGTAATCAAAACATAGAATAAGGTTAATTGCTACTTGCAACTTACTAATTAGTCAACATATAAATGAAATCAACATTGCGACTGTAATTAGGTAAAAATTAAGCACCTAAGTTATCACTTATTGTGATTTATGTCAAGATTAACCCAACAAAGTTTAATGAACACTTATGGTAGATCGGCCTTCACAGGTTAGACTGACCTCCAGCCGGGGGATTATTCTGTCCCATTATCAACTGCACATAATCCTGTAACCATCCTGGTTTCACACTTGGTCGTTTGGAACGTCGCGGAGTCGTAGGTGTGGTGAATGTACGTGGTAGTGCGGTTGGTTGGATGGGTTGTTCTTGAAGTGTTGATCCAGGCTGAGGTGTCGGTAATGCGGGTATGGTATCTGGAGTAGAAGGGACCGGTATAGGATCTGGGTTATTACACATAGTGTCCGGGGAATCAACAGGCGTGTTACTAGTAAGTTCGCCACGGTGAATTGGTGAAGTGTCCCTTCTAGTGGTACTCATGTCGGTGTCTAAATTACCGTAAGTGATTCCAGGTTTCGATGGTGTCTGTATGAGAGTCGACTGAGGCATAGGAGTTTTTGATAGACTCTGTAAATCAGTCGCAATGGTTTGTCGTGTTGGGGGTTGGTACACAGGTGTGTAACGACGGAGGAATTTCCTGTTGCGTAGTGTTATTCGTCCAGAACCATCAGTTCGTACGGCATATTGGTCAAATTGATGGACTTCAATGACCTGACCTGTTTTATCCCACTTTAGAGGGTGACGACCAGTCTGGTTTTGTATTCTGACGAAGTCAGCAACTTTGAGTGGTGGTAGACGTCGGGTATGTTCACTAAGGCGTTCCCCTATTTTTATATGTCTATTTCTGAGGGCAGCCTCACGTAGAGCTAGAGTGTCTTGCCATGTGTCGTGGGGTAGGTATCGACCCGGAAGGATGGGAATGAAGTCTTTCACAGCACGTCCGAATACACACATAGCAGGTGAAAGTTTTGTATCCCGATCAGTGGTGTTTCGATACTGCAAAATGGCGCGCTGGAAAGCATCAGTGTTAAGTTCGCCTTTCGGGCCGGTGTTGTCAGTGATCATGCGCTTTATCGTTTTGACACCAACCTCTGCTCTACAGTTACTGTGTGGAATGCCACGGAAGAGAGTCTGTGGTGTACACCCCAAGTTTTCAAGAAATCTCGTGTCGCAGTCGAAGTGAACTCTGGGCCCCCATCTGAGGCCAGTTCATCTGGAATTCCAAAAGTAACGAATGTTTTTCGCAAACTGTCTATTAGACCCGTTGAACCATTGGTAGATCTTTCTACGATGGGCCAGTTTGAATACCTGTCCACTATCACAAAGTAATTTACATCCTTGTAATGAAAGAAGTCAGCAGATAGACATTGAAACGGGTATTGAGCGTATACAAGTGGTGTTAGAGGAGGATTGGGCTGAGAAGGTGCCATACGATTACAATGTGAGCAATTATTCCTTATACTCGTGATGTCAGCAGTTATTCCTGGCCAGAAGACAGACTGTTCAGCCCTAGATGTCACTGATGTTACCCCTTGGTGAGCGGAATGAAGGGAGGTAAGTATATCCTGTCGTAGGGAAGGTGGGATTACCAGTCGGTCTTTGTAGATAGCGACACCGTCACCTGTGGACAAATGGTCTCTAAACGGGAAGAAATCTTGTAGGGAAGACGGGAAGTCAGTACGAGCGGCGGGAACACCCGTTTCTATAATCTCCACTAGTTGGTGCATAGATTCGTCGCTCGAGGTAGCTGTGCGCACTTTGTCCCATGTTACACATTTCAAGTTTTCAATTGAATAAGCAACTGATAAGTACAGGTAAGATTCATTGTTCAGGGATACTGATGAGATGTCATCAATGAGTACCGTTGGTTCTGCATCTCCAATCGGGTTACGCGAAACGGCATCTAGTGCTCGGTTCTTAGCACCTGGCACATGTAGCATCTTGAACTTGTATCGAAGCGTCTTTTCTTCAAGGTTGCGGAGTCGAGCATTAGGGATGTCTTCTAGAGACCTATCCCCAAATAGTTTCAACAGCGGTTTATAATCCACTGCTATCACTAGGTTTTCACATCCAAGTACAAAATATCGAGCCTTCTCAAGAGCATCAGCTACGGCTAATGCTTCACCCTCGACTGGTGCATATCGCGATTCTGTAGCACTAGTGAATCTGCTTCCAACTAAAGTTATTTTCCACCCATCAGCACAACAAAACGGTTCAATTTGAGCACAGTCACAGTGTTTTTTGGAATAACCAGAACCCTATTCCATTTTTAGACCAATCCGTCGCTAGGCAAGTCGGCTTAGTGGGGTCAAATATGCGCACACCATTTCCATTTTTGCCACAATAAGAACTATGAACTATGACATCTAGAAACAGTAGTCCATACTCATTTATGATGGAGATAACGTAAATAAGATGGAAACACTACTATGATGTCCAAATAATAATTCACAGTAAAAGGGAAGTAACTGATAATGTATATTCCTCTAGTAATCCCTGCAAGGTATTTGGCGTAAAACTGATTTGCTCACACTGAATATATGATTAATGAGAATCAAGTGAATATTGTGTCATAACTGAAATATCTTTGTTTGTTTTCCACATCCTGGTTCGCGTTCCGTTGCCACAAAAACACACTTCGCACTTTGTGAGTGCGCGATGAGAGTGAAAGTAAAATCCCATATTTGTTCAAACAGTAGCACCATAAAATTTAGAGATGGTGCTATTGACAAGCTGCCTTTCCCCCTTGTCTAACAGTCCAAAATTAGGGGCAGCTATGTGTAGATAACGCTTTGCGCGTAAAATTCTAAATAAACAAGTAAACAAACAATTCTCTAAACACTATTATCATTTATGTATAGATATATACCCTTAAGTTGAAGACTGAGGTGAAATATATGCACCAACCATTTCGAATGCATAATTGCACAATATTCACAAAGTAAAATGCGAAGCAACATTTTTCATTAGGGGGCGTTATACGTAGAAGAGTAGTATGTTCGTTGTCTCCTTCTTCGTTACATGTAATTTTGGTGATCGATTTTTGGATTTCGTATATATTTTACGTGAATGTAAACGCTATGCCAAGTAACTATTTAATTTAAAGTATACCTAAACCTGTTTTTAAAGCTATAAAATGGTAAGTTCTTGTAACATTTGCACTGTGGGCCAAAAGGAACCATAATTTTATAAGATTTTTAGTACTACTACCCAGGTTAAGTAATATTGCAGTTTGAATGTCAATAATTGTACTTCTGTAACAATGTAAGCTGACAGTGACAGTAACAATAACATTAGGCCTAGGAATAAGTTAAGAATAACAGGTATGTTTAGCTTGCTGCTAACTTATATTAAGTTGTAGCAAAAATCATACTTTAGGGATTTTCAATTCCCAGTGTAAATTGTAATTTAGTTGTAACTTAAGTAAGAGACAAAGGTTTGTGATATTAAGTTATGATATTTATTATTATACATGTGTTTGTAACTAAAGTTCCAAAGCCTAGATCGAGCACTATTTTTACCATTACTATATTAATGTAGACCAGTGCTTCTTACTTTAAAATTACAGTTTAAACATCCATGAATAATTTTCTTGATAATGATTGTGAAAACTGATTCTTACATTTTCGTTTGCGAGGAAAAAAATTTTATAATTTCTCTTTTTAAGTTTCACACCTTGCAACCAGCTACATTATAATATAAAAACATGTTTGTCATATCAAAATTTTAAGTATAATGTGTTCCTATTCAAGAGTTATTTAATCTCTGGTTTAAGTCTGATTTCCTTATTCTGCATGCATTTTGATGCAGGATTACTCAAGATCAGATGATTTCTTATTCAGTTTTGAGACTGAAATGTTGCTGTTATATTTTCTCTTTTTCCTTTTCAATTACATTAATGAGGTAGCTGAAAATGTTTAAGTAAATCTAATTGCAGAAATTCATTTATGACTATATTTTATTGTCAAAAAATAATTATGAAAAAAATTAAGTAAAATGTGAAGAAACATTTATTCATGAAATTATATTGACATGGTAGAGTAGTAAATTCATTGCCACCTTTTGCTTCATTAATGGTTAACACAATCCATGGTTTTTCAATTTCCGATGCTATAATTTCAAACATGAGATCATCATTTTAATTTTTTTATATACATTGGTTGCTCCATAATAGTGATATTATCAATGTGGGATTCTAACTCTTTGCTCTTCAGAGAGATTAGTACTATTTTTCCTTATCTCAAAATGTATTCAGAGATACCTCTCTGAAGAACCACCCAACTTTCCTTCTAATGTTTTGTGTTTTATTTGGCCATGTCAAGAATGCTTTTTTTTTTAATGCTACTGCTAGTGCTCATGGATTTATTGTGTATGGAGGACATGTCACTCTCCTATTGGTGGAGAACTATAATCTAATGAAGCAGTCCGTGTTAATTCATGCAAAGGTGGCAGTTCCATTAAGTCAGTATTATGCCAAGTTTTTATCACCTACTTAATTACTTACAACTGTACTTACAACATCCAGTCCTTGAAGTCAAATTTGCAGTCTGGAGTATGGACTTTTTGTAACATGTGTCATTCTCCAGTGCCCAAATTTCCTGACTTCATGCTTTCCTTCTTACTCTCCTTTGATACCTTCCCTCTCTCCATCTCATGATGGGGGCACTCCACTGTTCCCCTAAAGAGTTTACAGGGTATACTCAGACCCTTCCATTCTTTTCCATGGCACCTTCAACTTACTCAACACTTTCATGTTTTACTTGGTTCCCTATTGTGGGAACTTATTCGGTAGAGATACCTTACTTCCCTATACCTGTTTACTCACCTTCTTCCTTCATGACCTTCATTTTTTCCCTTTCCTCCATCAAGAGCTCTTTGGCAGTGTCACTGATTCCTTGGAATCATGAGTTGAAGCATCCTGCTATCAATCTTCTCTTTCCCTGGTAGTTTTGAATTTGTCCCAATCTCATCACCATTCCCCGACCTTACCTACCTCTTCCTCCCCATTCAGTTCCAGCTTCTCTGCTTTCCAGCTCTTTCCATCCTTTCTCCACCTGACGTCTTTCCCATCATCTTAACAGTCAGTGACCATCTAGCTGGTTCACGTATTATGAAGCTCTTCATCCCTGTTTACTCATTTGTGGGTTCCTTTTGCAACAGACAAATGGGTCATTCAAGTCTTGACCCAGTCTAGCCCTCCATTTTACTCCCCTCCTCCTCTCTTCTATCCCAACCATAGCCTTTCACCCCTCCTCAGTTCCAGCCCACCTCCAGTGTCTGGATAAGGTGGGTTTGGACGTGTTGAAGGAGAAATCCATAGAGCAAGTTCTCAACCCTTCTCCAGGCTATTATTTTTACCTCTTTGTTGTCCACATAAAGACTATGGACTAGCACCCATTCATTGACCTGGAAAGAGAACTATTTCTCTCTCCTCTGGTCTTTCCAACCAGACCTATCACTGACTAAGATTAATGGGTTGGATGCATTCTTCATGTTCTGATATCCCCTGCCTCATGACTTTACCACAGTTTTGTCCATGGGCACTGTGCCTATCAGTTTCTTGTCCTTCCATTCTGAATAGCATTAGCCCCTATCTTTCACATTATGCAGACTTTTGCTCCTAATTCCCATGGTCTGAGACCACTGTTCCACTTATACATGGTTGACAGGCTTCTTCTTTCCCTTTCCCAAGTAGAATACACATATCACTTGTTTTTCATGAAGGTGTTCACTTGGGATGGCTTGTCTAAATTTCCAACTCATTCCTAACCCTGACTCAATATCTTATTCACCTCCGGATACTTTTAAATTTTCACCTCAGTTGTGCCAGACCTTCTCCTCCTTGTCTACTAGACCTCTATGTCTGCACCTTTTCTTCTCCATCTATGTGTTAGGTTCTCTTTTTGGGGACTGGCTTCTCTGGAACCTCCTATTCCCTCCAGGGAGCCCTATGTTACTAATGGAACTCATCCAGGGATATACTGTCCTCATGAGTCCTTCCCCATCTCCTAGAGGATCTTACCTAGTGGATGGACAGCTCAAACTTCACAACTGGCATTTTTTTACATTCTTTGAAGCCTAACTTCTGTTTTTAGGTGCATCTCTCACCGGGTGGGGTGCATCCCTGTATGACTTTCTCACTTCAGATAACTAGAACTCTTAAGAGAGTTCTCTCCACATCAATATTCTGGTAATATTTCCAGACAAAAGGGCATGCTCCCATTTCTCTCTTTGTATTGAAATATTTTTTAGTATTAAAATGAATTTCAAACAGGTACTTACTTCTGAAATACTTAGTCTTTCATTATTAAGTTTGAATTCATGCTTTCAAACGAACATGACTCAAAATTTCTATATATCCTTTAAGTATTACAGAGCATGCTTCACTTATCCATAATCCTCTACACTCTCACATGACTTACTGTACAAGTGTCAGGGGATGTTATACAAGGTGTGCTTTCCTGCCATAATTTGTATTTTATTGAAAATAGGAGCCTTGATAAAAATTTAGTTGTGGGGAGTTGAGAGGAGATATTTCAGAGATAAGTACCTTTGGAAATTCATTTTAATCCTAAAAATATAAAATTCAACTCGTGCAGGCTTGCTTCTGTAAAATAAAAAATCAGAATACCCACATTGGAAATTATTGGTGATCATTGAATATGAAAAGAAATATAGAAGTATTAAATTACATGTTACAGGGCAGAAAATACATGGCCAAACAAAACTGGAGTAGAATCCAGAATCAGAAAATAAGTCACAGAACTGAAATCAGAAAACACTGGACCTAAAGAACACTCAGAAAGAAGACATCCTTCTTAGCAGTGTACCTCTTTTCCCATGATTCCCTTAAATTTAAGTAAAGAGGCTGTTTTTGAGAGGGCTATTGGTGTATTGAGCCTGTAGAACCAACAGTGGAACATGTGGTGGCATAAACATGTAGGAAAAATACTGTGTTATTTCTGCAGTGGATGGTTCACAGAGAAGCAGCCCAGGTATGTTTTATTTTATGAAAGGACATATACCAGAGGCAGTAGCTTCTCTTCATCCATACTGAAAATAGTTAGGGAGTCACACAGCTGGCTTTGTCAGTGAATCCTAAAAGAGAACTGAAGAAAGACCCAAGCAGCCCCCAAAGATGAGCTCAACAAAGTGAGGACATTGTAATGAGAACATCAGAACATAAATAAATAAATAAAATAAAGAGAAATAAAAACATGGATGATAATTGTCCTGGTTGGAGCAGAGACATCTAGTGATTTCTTCAATGATATGGAAGGGTGTGCTTATGAATGTGGGAAAGGTACCTGCTGAGGCATCATTAGCCACCAGATGGCAACCTCAGTCCACTTCCAAAAGACAACATCCTTTCACAGTGCTGTAGCAAAGAGGGTGGAATAGTCAAGGAATAAAAAAAAGGAGTGTTCTCACTGAACAAATTTATATAAACATAGGAATCCTGGAAAGTAAGAGAGATTGTATTAATTTTTTTTTCAGTTTTTATCTTTGTATATTTGTGTTTGATAAATTATGCACAAACTCATACACCTGTTCAACCCAATGGTCTAAAGGCCATTGACTCCACAGATAAATGCACAATCCCAAATAGACACTCAAAAGATGTAAAGGAGGTACTGTCTGAAAGTGATGAAAGTCATTACCTGGGTTGAGATGGCACACCCTACTAGTATCTCTGTTTTACAAAATGAAAGGAGTGAATCGAAGGAGAAATAGAATTAGAAAGAGAAGCCTAAAAATTTGCACCAGCAGAAGTGTGTAATGCAGGATAATGACTAGTACTAACTAGATATTGAACAGTAGAATGAAGACTTGAAATAATACATGATGCCAGAGCCTAAATTAGCTCCTGCTGTCAAGCTTAATCTGAATGAAAAACCAAGTTAAGAGAATTACCAACAAAAAACAAAAGGTTGTAAGAAAGAGGCCAGTTCGAGATCAGATGCAATATCAGGGGGAAAGACTAATCCCACATAAAATAGCTATATGAACAAAAGAACTGGTTGATTTAATCGATTACCTATGAGCAGTGGTTTCATCAATTAATTTAAATTAAGATCAAATTGATCAATGTCAAGAAAATAATCAACTAAATTAAAATTAGTGTTTCCAATTATTACTGCTTTTGATTATTCCAAAAATCAATTAATTAAAATTATGATTAGTTATAATTTTCATACACTGAAAATATATTTCTGACAGGTACTTACTTCTGCTCACATACATAGCTATTCTTGTTCAATGCTGCTCTCTATTCACAAAATATTTTTTGCATGCCACAAGCCTTACACTCCCACATACCCCTTGGTTCACATGGGTTAACTGAATCTCCACCACACACATCTCGTGCCCACACACACGACTCATGTGACTCCTTCTATGCTATTCTACCTAACTATCACTTTGAGTTTGGGCAGAAAACTGAGCACCAGTGGACAGTGGGGAGGAAGGGTGGGAAATGAAGTGGAAGTAAGTACCTGTCGGAAATATATTTTCAGTGTAGGAAAATTATAACTTCTGACAAGGTACCTTACTTCCACTTACATACATAGCTAGAATCCGACATTGAACAGGTGGAGGGACCGGTGCAAGAGACAAAAGAAGCCAGTTGTCCATATAATGGTGGAAGTGCAACCCATGAGCATGCATAAGTCTGGCAAAAGCCTTGACCACCCAACAAAAGACATACTGTGCCATAGCAAACCCGAAAGGTAGAGCAGGAAATCAATAAACCACTTCATCCTCGATTGTTTAAGGGTAGCCACCTAAAAAAATATTTTATAGAATAACTCTTTCTCTGATAAGCAAGCCAATTAGTTGACATATCTACTGTTATACTAACAGTTAGGTCTACTGTGTGTATATTCTCCTCTTTTTGCTAGCATTTACATTTGTCATTCTGCTACTGTATCACTAGGCTTGGCAGCAATTTATACATCTGTGAATGTGCAAAAATAGTATTGTGTTGAAAGAAAGTCAGGATTCCTAATCCCTTGTATGAAATGTAATTGTGTTTTAGGGGCTCAGAATCTCCCAGGATGAAATACCAATCCATCTCTCAGCAGAAAGTATTCATACAAAAGTCCTTTAAATTTAAGTTACTCATTCTTGTATAGTCCACTAACAGTGAAACGCTATCGAGTTCAGGAACAGTTTTATTGAAGATCCCATGTACTCATTACAAATTTTTTGGGTTTTCATTTCCTTTCCCTCACAATCATCTGTTACTGTTAGTGACAATTCAACTCTTTTTCTTAATGTTGGTAAAAATGCTAATTGTAAGAATGTGTTTTCCAAGTTCATGTACCTTGCCTTAGGATATCATCATGATTATGGTATTTAAACAATATTTTATACTATATTTCATGCGTAGGGCTCCAAAAAAAGACTGGAAGTAACTCATCAGCCAAAATTTATCTGAATGGGATCCTATTGATATCACATTATACAATACATCTTCAAAACTACTAATATCATTTTATTCTTTTGTATATATATATATATATATGAAAATCAAGTTATCAGAAAATGGAATTCTAGCCAGTGGTTGTGGAATTTTACACATCATGTGAACAACCATTCCTACCTTGATCATTTACAGAAACAATGTCTTTTTATAATGTTGTTGAAAGAGTTCCAAAACCATGCAGTCTATGAAAAGCTTTTTTCATCCCAGTAGCAATTTTCACTATTTAATCATACTTTTGAGTTCTTACACCTAAGTGTTATGGTTTGGCCTTTCAAGAAAATTCTTTTAGGATTAAGAGTCTTATTGATTACTATTGTAATGACTGGATGGATAAATTATAACTTGTTGTACATAGTACATATATATTGTTACGACAGCAAAAGTCACGCAACTCTGGGAGCATATGCGCTGGAGTTTCTCAAAGGATCATGAATTTTCCTTGCAACTCTAGTTTGTTCCAGGCGCCCTCTTTTTTAGTATATAAGCCCGGAAAATAAAGTCAGTGAGAAAGATAGAATTACAGAGATAGATAGATATAGAGATAGATAATTGAGTCAAGCGAACAGTAGGCACCATAAGTAAAGTGTGTGAATTGCTGTGAATTATAGTGTGTGTTTATAAAAGTAGTTAAGTTAAAGTGACTGTGGAAATTCTGTGTATTACAAAGTTGTATCAAGAAAGAATAAACTAGTTTTATTTAAGAAATAACTTGTATCATTGAAGTTCCTCTGAAAGAATTTATACCAGAAATTAACAAACGAACAGAGATGTAGCAATATGTAGGATATTCACAAATGCTTATTCAAGAAGTGTTTCATTATTATAAGGTAATTGCTAATGCTGCTACTTAAGATCTGTTCTTTCACAAAAGAACTCACACATTTGGCACTACTCTTCATCAGACTGGCAGCATGCAACCCACTTAAACATTTCATGTACACACACATTCCAAATTCTCCTTAACACTAACATGTTCATTTCTTGGAAGACTATTGAAATCATTACATGTACATACTTCTAATTGAAATAGGCTGGTTAATCTCAAATGGAACTGCTCTTTGTTCTCTCTTATACTTTCCCATCCCATTTCTTGTGTAGAGTGATTTCAACATTGTGAGACTAAGAAGCATACTGAATAAATAATGGCTGTGTTTGCTCAATTTCATTAGATTAAGTATACCACTTTGACTATAAGTAAAAGTTTTGTTACATTTTTTTGTCCACTGTATCAAAACTTAACTTGTAGCTTATAAATGTTTGTTTGTTTTTTTTTATCTGTTTCATATGAAAATTATTGATTAGTTGAATGTAATAAATTATTCCATTCCACTAATTGTCCAGCTTTAGTATCAATTGTTCCATGAAGTTACAATAAACACCAGAAAATAAACCTGGTATAATAGGCCTTCTGGAGAGGGGGAGGAATAGCTGCTAACTATATAGTGTTTAGGATATTTTAACTTATCTAAATTTATTACTATAATAAAAAACATTTTGATTAGTTATGCTTTTAATAATACATATGAGCTACATTTTTCACATTAATACACTAACACTGTAACTGTACAATGTTTGTCTATTTGAGTTTTGGTATTAATACTTGCATATTACTCTTACGATGTGTTTGGAATGATTGAATTTGTTCTCTGATAGATCAGTTATTACTCAAAATATCAAGTGATTCAAAGTTAACCTTATAAAAACAAAGAAACATAGTAGATGTTTATGTGTAGAAATGAAGTAAGGTTATGTGTATATATATATATATATATAATATTGAAGTTATTGCAATATTATTTTTTTTATACAAAACATAACTATTTCAATAATACAATTTCCTTTAATTATTGTTTAGATTTCCTCCAGAGGAAATGGAGATTATGGAAACTGATGCCCTTATCAAAAGAACAGTTGGTCATAATGTCAACATGCCTAGCACTAGGCAAACAAGTTATCAGTCAATGAATGGACCTGAAGGCTCACTTCAGACTTCAACAAGTGAAAATAGTACAGAAATAATAAAAACTTTTCCTCGTTCACACAGCAGTGATGATGAAATGATTGACATAACAGGCACGGGAACTACAACAGAATCCAATTTGTCTCGTTCGCAGGGTAGGGCAATTTCTTGTTTAAAAAATTTAGTATTCTTAGCCTAACATTACCAATCAAGACTGAAGAGGTTCAGGAATGTCACCATTGGTTAGTACTATCTTTATATATGAAAAGAAGTGTTCAGTATATATAGAGTGTAATTGCTAGCAAGTAAGCTTTATATATTACTGATACATTTTGTCTTTTGGTGAAGGAATATTTTATGGACATAAATTTTATATAATTTCAAAAACTTAGGAAAAGGGCAAATATACTTTATAAATAAATTTTAAATTTTCTTTACTCATAGCTGGTATATGTACATTTAAAACATTTTTTTAAGTTGTGTGTTTGGAATTAACTTCTAAGTTACAAAATTGATACATGCTCAATATTTATCCTACAGAAGAATCAACAGTGTATAATCTAAGTATACATATGTGTCTTTTAAACAGTTTTTTGGATATCTTTCACCAAAATATATTTTACTGTATTGTTTGTTTTGTGCAAAGTTGTGACTAACATTGGGGTAAATAAACTCATGGTGTTTGTCTGTGTATATATATAAAAGAAATTGACTAGAAAAGGAGCATTTACTCAAAATGTTGACCTTTCTTTTATTTTATCATCTTCACATTTTTCTATTCACACACACACATATATATGTATATATATATATATACACCT